AGATGTACTTCTAGAAACGTACAAAAAGGGTTATTCTTTTTTTTGAAGGTACGAAAAGGGTTATTCTTGTCTACCATGTCCATGACTGATTTTAAAGTTTATGTGACGTTTCCGGTATATGTGAAACAAATGTTACTCTAATATGATTAATGTTCCTGGATGAGGCTAAAAAATGGTACCCTGAGATAAATGAAGAAGATGACAAATGACATAACAACCACTTAACAAATTGGCACCAAAATGAAAGTAAAAGGTCTAGATCCCATCTTTACTAGGATTAATAGAAACCATGAGAACTATATGAATTATGAAGGTATAGATATTTGGTTGAGCTTCTTGTCGTTGAGTTTTGGTGTGGGATCTTTATGTCTACTAGTGTACCTATCTTTTTCTTCCTCTAACAAAATGTATGGGAGCACCGTAATCAATCCTTGCAGAGAGGATGAAACCCAACACTTAAATCAACCCTCAAGCTAAAATGCTGATGTTGATTGGTGATTATGATGAACCTGAACCAGAACCAGACGTGGAGGAACAAATTCTGTGGCAGCCAGATCACATGCTTCAGGAAAACCAGGATGCAGCTCTTCATTCTATGGAAGTTGGACTGAATCCTAGAGCTTTGAATTTCCAAGTTCACATTGGACGGAGGTTAGTTTCCATCCTCATTGACTCTGGGAGTACTCATAATTTTATCCAGAAAAGTATTGTTGAGGAATTGGGCCTCGTTATGATCAAGGTCCCTAGGATGAGGGTGTTCTTAGGCAATGGAGAATTTTTGTCCTGTGAAAGGAAGTGTCCAGCAGTATCTCTCAATATCCAAGGTCATATTTTTGTAGTCGATTTGTGGGTGATTGAGCTAGCTAATCTTGGCATAATTTTGGGAATTATGTGGCTTAGTTCCTTGGGCAGAGTAATTCATGACTACAATGATATGTCCATGGAATTTGTTTGGAATCATTCCAGGGTCATTTTGTCTGGAGACACTAGAAAGGGACCTACGAAATCAGATGGGGTTTGTTCCTTTCTAACAACACATTTACCTGATCCTGCTACTGGTGTCATCTTACCTGATCTGCTGGAATTAAAAAAACAGGTTCCAATGGAGGTGTGGACTATATTTGAGAAATTTCAAGTTGTTTTCCAGTTGCCACAAGGACTTCCACCTTCAAGGGAGTATGATCATGCAATACATCTGATTGATGGAGCTAAACCAGTTAGTGTCAAGCCTTATAGGTATGCACATCATCAAAAAACAGAAATTGAAAAACAAGTGGCTGACTTGCTAGCTTCAGGTTTCATCAAGGCCAGTCATAGCCCATTTTCTTCTCCTGTTTTATTGGTGAGGAAGCAAGACAACTCTTGGAGGTTATGCATTGACTATAGAGCATTAAACAATATAACTGTCAAAGACAGATTTCCAATTCCCACAATTGATGAACTCTTGGATGAATTAAAAGGTGCAGAATTTTTTTCAAAGTTAGATTTGAGGAGTGGCTACCACCAAATTAGATTGGTTCCTCAGGATACACCAAAAACAGCCTTTAGAACCCATGAGGGACATTATGAATTCTTGGTGCTACCTTTTAGGTTAACCAATGCACCATCAACTTTTCAATCAGCCATGAATCAAATGTTTAAGCCATATTTGAGGAAGTTCATCATTGTCTTTTTCGATGACATTTTGATTTACAGTTCTTCATATTTGGATCACTTGGAACATTTACAACTCACACTGGATTGTTTACAACAAAATCAGTTTGTGGTGAAGTTGAGCAAGTGTGCATTTTGTTTAACTGAGATTGACTATTTGGGTCACATAGTTTCTAAATGGGGTGTGAAGGCAGACCCGAAGAAAATATCAGCCATGGTGCTATGGCCCCAGCCAAGAAATGTCAAACAACTTAGAGGGTTCATTGGCCTCACTGGATATTATAGAAGGTTCATTAAGCACTATGCATCCTTGGCAGCTCTTTTAACTGATTTGTTGAAAGCTGATTCGTTTGCTTGGACTGATAGTGCTACTGCAGCTTTTAAATTTTTGAAGGAAGCTATGACTTCTACTCCTATCTTGGCATTACCCGATTTCTCCTTACCTTTTATTATAGAAACCGATGCTTCTGCAACAGGGATTGGAGCAGTGTTACTTCAACACAACAAGCCAATTGCCTATTTTAGCAAAAAAGCTTGGGGTAAGAATGAGATTAGCATCCACATATGTCAGGGAATTATATGCATTGACTGAAGCTGTGAAGAAGTGGAGATACTACTTGTTGGGATCCAAATTTATCATCAAAACTGATCATCGAAGCTTGAAGGAATTGCTCTCTCAAACCATTCAAACTTTAGAACAGCAGAAGTACATGTGTAAATTGATGGGGTATGACTTTTCCATTGAATACAAATCAGGAGTCTCCAATATTGTAGCTGACTCATTATCTCGAAGGGATGAGGAAGAGGATACCACAGGTACTATCTTATCTTTTTGCTCTTAGGTCACTTTTGATGTTGTCAATCAAATTAGGATTGAAAATGGTTCTGACTCTGAGTTGTTAGCAATTCATTCTCAATTTACAAAAGGAGATCACACTGATCCTAATATTTCAGTAAGAGATGGAATTTTGTATCATAAGCATCGATTTTTGTTGGGTTCCAAATCTCCACTCTGCCATATGTTGATTAATGAAGCTCATGCTACACCTCTTGGAGGTCATGCTGGCATAACCAGAACCTTTTTGCGTTTATCTGCAAAAAAAATTTGGTTCAGTATGAGAAGAGATGTCACAAGTTTTGTTAGACAATGCTCAGTATGTCAGGTGGTCAAAACAGCAACCACACCTCCCCTTGGGTTGCTACAGCCTCTTCCCATACCTCAAGGAGTTTTTTAGGATCTCAACATGGACTTCATTACTGGATTACCTCTTTCGAGGGGATTCTCAGTAATCTTAGTAGTTGTGGATCGATTAACTAAGTTTGCACACTTTGGGGCTTTGACTCATCCATACACAGCAGCCAAGGTAGCTGTATTATTCTGTGACTTAGTGGTGAAGCTACATGGATTTCCTAAGACTATAGTTTCAGACAGGGATAGCATTTTCATCAGTCAATTCTGGTCACTTCTCTTCAAGAATAGTGGTACTACTCTTAGAACTAGCACATCCTACCATCCCCAATCTGATGGCCAAACAGAGGTCACAAATAGATACCTGGAGCAATACATAAGAGCCTTCTGCCATGATGAAAATCATAGATGGTTTTTCTATTTGAGTTGGGCAGAATTGCACTATAACACTGTTGTGCATTCTTCCATTAGAATTACTCCCTTCCAAGCTTTATATGGGAAGCTGCCAACCATGATCCCTCACTACCCTGAAGGTTCAGTCCGAGTGGAGGCTGTAGATGTGACATTATCTCATAGGAATGAATTGCTATCTAATCTGAAGAAGCATTTGCATGATGCTCAAAACAGGATGAAGATCCAAGCTGATAGGCATCGAAAGGATGTTGTTTTGAAGGTGGGAGATTTGGTCTTGGTGAAGCTTCAACCATATCGACAAATCTCACTGGCTAAAAGGAGCAACCAGAAATTATCCAAGAGGTATTTTGGTCCCTTTCCTATCAGTCGTGTGTTGAGCCCAATCTCTTACCAATTACAGTTACCCGATGGGTGCACCATTCATCCCTCCTTTCATGTGTCTGTTTTGAATCCTTTTCGTGGTGATCATAAGGATTTGGTTCCGACCTTTCCAGTTTTAATTCACAACAATTCTCCAGTACAACAACCCTTATCTGTTCTGATGTCTCGAGAAGTCAACAATAAAACTGGCCAACAAAAGCAGTGGTTGGTGCAATGGTCCGATGCCTTGCCTGAAGATGCTACTTGGGAAGATGAGGCAGACTTGAAGTTGCATTATCCAAGCTTGAACCTTGAGGACAAAGTTCCTTTAGAAGCAGTGGCGAATGATACGAAGAAGGAAACAAGATTGAGAAGTGCTCCCTCATGGAGCAAGGATTACTTTTACACTTGAATTACTGATAGTATTAGTCGATTGAATTACTTGTAACTATTACTGATAGTATTAGTTGATTGGATAGTCACCATGTATAGGATGAGGTGTCTAGTTAGTTACATGAGGTGGCATTGTTAGTTAGAAGCATGTGGGGGTATAAGACACATGGCCCTTAGTGGTATTATCTTGAATAATAAACGATTCTTCTTTTTCTGTTCTCTGGTTCCTAGCCTTAAGAGTGCAACACTCTTAACATAGCAATATCAATCATGAACGCCAAGCACCACCCACACCATCTCAAATACAACACAATTTTCATCCGAGACCACACAATCTTCACTGCTATATCACTTCCTTTGATAGCCCCATTGCACTTCCTTTGAATGATTTTATATTTAATATTATATTTCTAAAATGTCCCTCACACAAAAAATTTTTGAACTTAAAGGATAGATAATGTATTAGATCATATACTAAGAAATTTCATAATATTTATTAAAAAATTAATTTAAAAAAGTGGAGATACAAGAATTGAACTTTGGCAAAGCTCTAATGTCATGCAAGCACCCAGCACTCCCAAAAGTTAAGTTAATAAATAAAGATATATGGATGTTATTATAGTCAAAAGCTACAATAATTAACATGAAAAGGGGAAAGGAAAGATAAAGAGCTATGCAATTCATTTTTTCAATATCTTTTTTAAAACAAATTTTATGATTCCGTTCGTACAAAGAAACTTATTCCAAAGGAAGCTCACGCAAAAACATCACAACAGTACAAATAATTTTTATTTTTTTGTTAGAAAAATATAAAACCTCCCCTAAAAGCTTAAAGTTCCCGATTCTCACCACCCTATTTAGTAGTTAATATTTAATTAAGTCTTATGAAATTTTTTAACACAGGTAAACTGACGTGATCAATGATTCACCCTTCAAGTCCAGTCCAATTTGAGAAATATAAAATTATTAATATAACCTCACCCAACCATATTATTTACATATTTATTTATTTATTATCACCATTTCTGCTGTTTTAAGCTTTAAGCAGTTTACACCTCTTACACATTCCGCGTTCTAACAGACACGTCCTTTTCGTCTGTTTTCACGCGCAATTTATAACTACTGCTTCATATTCAAGAACAACGATACAATTACGAGAGCTAATGCTATGTAACATCCTACTAAAATCTAACGCTAAAGCCAATGCTGGAAACTAAAGAGGGAAAAATCTACGTTTGCTAACTACTATACTAAAAGCAAAAAATCCTTTGGAGGGGAGAACAAAGGCATAGCCGCATAAAAGAAAACAAAAAAGGAGACAACTATTCTGGTGTTCTCAAGCAACCTCCAGGAAGAAGGAACTTGAATTTATCAGCATTCTCTATCAAGAAAGCAGGAAGATTAACCGCAGAAGCTGAGCGGGGTATTGGGCCCATCTTTTTAATCAACTCCTTGAAGGAGTATTCTTCAGGGAGCATATTAAAAAGATTATCTCCCTTGCAAATAAGGTCCTGAATTCTTGAATGACTCAGAAAAGATTTCTGCTTCACACGGTCTGCATGGCTATAGGCAGTCATTTTGAACACAAATTCCGAAATATACCGAAAGCAAAAGCTGCAATGCCATCCTGCATCCGACAAGATTGCATCCGTCTGGCGCGAATGCCGGTAAGGTGTCCAGTGACCGTACACGTGTGCGGTGGCTCGCCAGCTGCTGTAGTCCACAGGGAACTCAAATGAGTACATGTAATTCCTCAGTTCAAGATGCATTATGGGAGGAATCCCATCACACCATTGTAGCAGTTTCAATGTTTGAGGGCTTGGAATCTCATCCGTATCTGACATGAGAAGAATATCACCATTGGAAATCCCTGCACGGTGTATCAATGCATTCATAGCCGTACGTTGTTTTGCCTCAAGCACAAACGGGTTCTCTTGTGATCCAGGGGATGCAACTCTGCCAGGAAAAATGTCATGAACTGTCTTTTGTTTGGCAAAGGAAAATCTTTCCTGGTTTAAGGAAAAGAAAAGAGGTTTTGGGATGCCTGTAAACGTGGTATTAGACTCAAGGATCACAAATTTTGATACGTATGGATAAAGTTCATGCCATCTAATGTCAAGCATGTCTAACTCATTGCTGAAGATGATAGCATCGAAAATGCGGCGAGGTTGGGAGCGAAGGGACCAGCCATGAAGATGGCAAAGGTGGTCCATAGAGACATTTTCTGCATAATAGTGAGGTATACGTATGAAAGGGGCAGGGGGGTTGTCCCAGAGGGGTCGGAAGAAATATGAAATCTTCTGGCCATGGATAAATATTCCAATCACACAAATTGGCACCAGTAATAGAAGTAAGACACAAAGGAACTTGGGAAGTTTTAGTCTAGAATTGAGGCGTGCTCGGGGAGCCATGTCTTGAAGGGAAAATGCTTGAAGATCGAATTGATTTCCCCAATTCAATGATCAAAGAGATCATGTTCACCTGCAACAGTTTCAACAAAAGGGATTAGAAACAATAATAAAAAGTGAACATATTCTAAGAAATTTTTTCCCCAAGGGACAAATGAATATTAAAGTTGAAGAAGTAAGAGAAACCCTGTATAAGTCCCCATAAAAGGATGAAATACTTACTCAATTGTAGTAAGGTAAGTAAGTTTTTCTAGCATGGACCTAGTATATGCAACCATATCACAAAGCCATGTATGGCAATTAATATAAACAAGGGATTTTCTGAACTGGATATTGCTGTTATTTACAGGAGACACCAAAGTTTCCAAGCAGTCAAGTAGTCTCATACTGAAGCTATTTCAATAGACAGTAAGAAAATACAAACAAAGGATATTTCAGTATACTTTCTCAATAATAAAATTGTAGATTTTCGTCATCAGAAAATGAATCTCATTGTAAATACAAACTAGCTCCTGATTCATGACCTTTAGAAAAGAGAGTTCATGAGCGGAGTTTCTGGAAAGAGAGTTATAGTAACAAAGCAGCAATAATTAAAACATATAATGCAACTAATTACTTCTAAGTCTTCCACTTATATGGTTAATGCTTATAATGAATAAAACTTATAGCATAAAATTGTGCAGAATATAAAGTTTGCAATGAAATCTGATTGCCTTAAGAAATACACGAGAACTTAACCAGAAAAAACACAAATGTGAATAACAAACAAGTTAAAAAATGCCAAGTGAGGAAGAAGCTGTATTTTGTTTTGTATAAATCCCTTTTCCATACTGTTACTCACATTTTTGCAATATCAGTTCCTTTGAGAGACTTCAGGGTCTTGTACTCACAGTACAAATTGTCTTTTCCAAAGAAGTATTTTGATTTGTATATACGTATGTACAAAATGCCTTTTTTGTTTTTCCTACCAAATTGTTGCAGTGAAATACGATTTCAACTAGTGTCTTGTGACGCAACTCTGGTTTATCTCCTTCACGAAGAGGTGAATAAAATGCAGCATAGCTAGAGCTTCCAAAACCAGAGAGTATGAACTCATAAAGCCTCCATGATAAATGACATTAATTATAATTATTGAGTTGATACGAAGAAGATATGGTAAAATCAATTAACTGTGACAGTTAATACTATTGAAACAATTTGAGAATGATAAGGTAAAGGATTACTCGCCAATAGATGACAAAAATAATTATTCCCATAATCCATTCAGAATATACCGACAAAATCTTTTGAGTTGCTAGATAGCTTCTTAAAACTTTATCAATACGAGATGAGGAAACAATAAATTTTATCAGTTAAATGGCATTCCTTTTCAAATCATGGTTTTAAATTTTAAGATAGTAACTGCCTCTTGTTGGATAAGATAATCCGTTCCAAAACTCGGCAAATAAATCACGAAGGAACGAAATTGGAAATTTGGAATCAAACTGTTTTTAAAACCGAACACACAGAATCTCAAAGGAATCAGTTAAATCAACTCTGCCCCTCAAAAGAAAAATGAATATATTCACCCTTCTCAGATCCCCCATTATAAAAAGAAAAGAAAAAAACGCATTATCTTGCCAAACCTCGAAGTTTCAGAAACCTGAGAAATAAAAAAAAAAATTGCCTCACAGAATTGTTAAGAGGGAATTTGCCGCATACTAGAATGGAAACACATAAATTACAAACACGCATAAAAAATAATAAAGAAGGAAAATAAATGCAAGCTTGCTAACAATTATGATATATGTCCATAAAAAATAAAAAGAAAAAGAGAAAGAGAAGAGGAACAGTAATGTTACCTTAGAGAAGTTGCAGAAGGTGAGGGAGAGATTGAGTAGGTTGTCCGGAGTCCATGAGAAAATCCATTGAAAGCCCGTGAAGGGCGATAGAAGGTGAGAGGATAAGAGAGAAACTAGGTGTCCTATTCAACCTAGTATACTGTTCTGTTTGGCTTGTACTATGGAAATAAAGGATGAAGCATGTGGGAAATGTATCCTCCCATCTTAAAATAAACATTAGATTAGATAATCAAGGGAAGATTACAATCATACTTTTATAATTATTTATTTCAATAATTGTTTTTATTTTTTTTATTATCGTTGATAATTTTTGTATGATTATAACTTTTTTAACACGAAAGTATCCAGATCCAAGCAAGTGAGGGTTACTATTACGGGTTAGCTATATCATAACAACAACATTAACATCCACATTAACATTATCATCGTATTGAGGAATAAATTTTTAGTACTACTGTTGCATTAAGATTCAGTAAATCTCATCAATAGTAGTATTACATATCATAAGAGAGAAAAAAAATTGACAGACAAAAAAAAACTTTAACTGACATGTAATATTTCTATTGATGAGATATATAAATTTTTTTTGTGCAACTTCCGTATTGAGTTATTGGACGACAACACCACCCAATAAGAAACATACAGAGCAACACAACTAGCACCTTCACTTGCCACTTCAAGTTCCAGGTTTGGAAGCTGTGCACATGACGTGGCCTCCTTACCATTTTTACTTCTTTTTTTATTTATTTAAAAGTGTGGCTGGCGGTGGCGGAGGGTTTGGAACTTGTTGCCTCTGTCTGCGGCCTGCCCCCATGCGTTAGCGATGAATTCGGAGAAATCTCAATCTATTTAAGTGTTAAAATTATCTTTTAATTTATTTATTCCCTATTTTTTTTTATTGTGCATCGTGTTTGAAGTGATGATGCAGGCACTACAATGTCTAAAAGATATCATATTGATATTACTTATCTTTTAATTTACGAAAAAAGTGTATGTTATTTTAAAGGATATAAAATTGTATCATTTTAAGAGAGAGAAAGAAATAGATAAAGGAGGAGAGAGAGTTGACAAAAAAAATAAAGGTGTGAATTTCATCTCTTTGTGAGAATTAAAAGAATATAAGTTGTATCATTTAAAAGGATAATATTTTTTCCTTAATTTATATATTCCCTATATTTTTTATTGTGCATCGCGTTTGAAGTGATGATGCAGGCACTACAAGTACAAGGTCTAAAAGATATCATACTCATATTCCTTGGGTCGCATCGCATATATAAACAAATTCGATAGTATCAGTGCATCACCATTAAATTATTATTTATAGTGGCATAACAAATAACAAAGTTGTCTAACTTATAAGTTATAACCGACACTTTGTCTCATTAATAGTCCACATAAATCATTTTTTTTTTAAGGTTACAAGGAATTGAACACAACACCCTACACTACACACACTCCTAACACACACCCCACACCACTAAGCTAATCCTAGTGGTGCCACATAAATCATTCTTCGGATGAAGTAAATTACACTTTTAAGTTGTTAAATACATAAAATTCAAATTTTGTTCAATTTAATTTTAAAAATATATTTTAGTATCTTACATTCACTCTTCAAATAGTCAGAAATATTTCACTTAATGATGTTTAAAATTTATAATTAATAAAAGAAGTAAAGTTTAAAAATCTATGTAATTTATTCAAAAATTATCTAGACCCAAAAAAAGGAAAAATTAAGAGATAAAAAAAATTAAGGGAATAAGTATTTTAGAGTAAATATACAAAAAAAAATATTGAGTATTAATCTTTAACTTAAAAAATTATCAAGACAAGATATATTAATTATGGGAAAAAGGTTACACTCATATAAAAGTAAAATAGGTTCCATTGTAAAGAGAAAAGAGATAAAAATTTACTTTAATTTTATTTATGTACTTTTCTTTACATAATTTAATTTATTTACTTTAATATTATAGTTTTTGTTAAAATTCAAATTTCTCTCTACCTGTGATTTTTTCCTTTACGCTCATATTTTCTTAAGAGTATCAGAGGAATTGTGACTCTATTTTTTTTTAAACTCTATAAATAAATTTAATAAAATTATAAATATTATATAGTCATCATAAGTATTTTAATTAAAATACGCCGCTGGTTCTTTGAGGTGAAAACGAATAAATAAATTATAAATAGAGAATAAATCTTGTTGATAAAAAGTCAACAATTTTGAAATAAAATGATAATATGAAAAATTATAATATATGGTAAAAATATTTGTCATTTTAAATGACATAACTTGTGTCATTTTAAGTGAAACAATAATATTTTGATGGACTTTTACATTTTCTCTCCTCTAAGATACTCTCTCTTTCTGATTTTGTGGATCAGAGAGAATATAAAAAATTTCTGAATTTGTACCAAAATATGATCGTTTAACTTAAAATGACACAATTTATGTAATTTAAAATGATAAATACTTTTCGTAAACACTTTTTCTATAATGAAAAAGTGATTGTCATTTTAAATAACATAAATTTATATAATTTTAAGTGAAATATACGTAATTTGATAGACATTTGATGATTTTTATATTCTTTTTTATAAACAAAATTAGGAGAAAACATAAAAAAAGAATATCACGGAGAAGAGAGAAATTAAAAAATGGTCAAAACTCGATTGTTTCACTTAAACTGACATAAACTTATATTATTTAAAATGATAAATATTTTTCTTTATTACTATGTTTTTGCAAAAAGGAAAATGAGTTATATTTCTGTAATTAAACTACTAATTACTATAATTAAAGAAAAAAAATTATAATCATACTTTGTCATATTATCTGTTTAATTATTGAGTGATAATTTCATTTGGTAGAATTATGTGCCTGGTCGAGTTAATTCTTAATGGTACATTAGCCTATTGTGGGCTAGTCTATAGTCCACCTGGTAGTTTGGTAGAATTATGTGCCTGGTGCCTTATCGTTTGTACTTGGAGTTGGTGGGTTCAATGTCCGTTACATTTTTTTGCACACTTTTTTTTTTGCCCTCCTACTAATTTGAGACTATTTTTTATAGATTTAAAGTATTTAATATTTTTACAGTGGATGTAGATAATTTATCTACATTCACTTCCAAAATGATATTGTTTTGGATTGAAAAATTAAAAAATTATAATAAAAAGACTATTATAGCCCTGAAATAAATTATAATTACAAAAATACTTTGATTTTCGCACTAAAATAATGTCGTTTTAAACTCAATGTAAATAACTTATTTATATTAACCTTAGAAAAAGCAAACTCATATTTGAATAATGGGATTTATAGATGGGTTCATTTAATCTTATGTTGAATGAGAGATCTTCTCTCATGTTGTGACACATATGTGGCGGGACCTGTCATTTAAAAAAAAAAAGAAAAAAGAAAAGAAAAATGAATGTCATGATTTTCGATGAGTGTGTAAGAGATAAAATTACTCTTATGCAACATGACATAAGAATAGTTTTTCCTTTTATAGATATTTGATTGCAGGAAAGAATTCCCATCATGTTATAGCACAAACTGACATGGGACCCACCATTTTTTTAAAAAAGAAAAAACCAAAAGTGGTTGGTGTGACTTTCTATGTATCAGCAGAAAGTTTCAAAATCCTGCAAGATTACAAACTTTTTCCCCTTATGGGTAATCAATCGGTAATGTTATAGGAATTTTTTTCATTTTTCCTGTAGAGACAATTTATCATGGGACCCGTGCAGTATTTTTTCTCTCTTAAAATATTGTCTCTACAGGACAATTTTTTTTTTTTTCTATAACAGTACATATGCATTCTCTTAAGGGGTGTTTGTTTCAAGTTTTTGGAGAGGATTACCGGTAATCCTTCTTTGGTAAATATAATTACCACGTTTGGTAGAAAGAATAAATTACGATTTCCGGATATTTAAGGATTACCGGTAATTTGATTTATAAAGAAAAGTCACTATTCAGATTACCAAAAATAATATGGTAATTCGGAATACCAATCAGAATACCAAGTAAAGGAAAAACACAACAATAAATTTTGAGACAAAAATACCTCAATACACATAAAAATCTAGACCCAATCTATCAATTACAAAAGTAAAAATAGTTTGGGGTTATTTTTGTAAAATAACCTCATATTCCAAGTCATATTTCGTTCTAAACCAAATATAGAATCAGTAATTTTTATCCAATATTTTCGGTAATATTTTGGCGAATCAAACACCTCTTTCGTAAGATTCCAAGTAAACTCAATTTCTACTGTATTCCCATTAATCATGATTCTTGGTCACCAAAAAATTTCTCTTGTACCAAATACACCCTAAATGATATGCATGAAGAGATGGTTAAATCACAAGTGCTTGTAATAAAATTTTAACTATAGTTGTTCTCTATTAATTACTTAATTAGACTATAATATTCAGGGTTAAATAATTTAACTAACTACTTGATTATTATCGTTATTATTTTTTTTGTCAGGTTTCTTTCGCTTCATTAAAATAATTATATTATCATCAAGTACGTAAATCATTAATATAGGATTGTTTTGGTTTAATCAGTGATCTTAAGTTTGAATTCAAATATATAATTACATTAAAAAAATTTAGTAAGAAAAGTTTTGTCGTTCTTGTAATCACCATATTAATAAAATAATCAATGAAATGATAAAAAAAAAATCTCAAAAAATAAATAAATAATTATATCAAGAAATAAAACCTGCTCTGGTTCCCAACCAAAAGTATATACTGATCCAACTTTTCAAAACCCAATTTCAATAATGAAACCCATCAGTGGTATGCATGCCTTGATCCGAAACGTCAGGTAGAGGCCCATTAAAGGGAATTTTTTTCTCAAGATGATAGCTACTCAACTAGTGGAAGAGTAAGAGAGGAATGATTACAAAATAGGACTTCCAATTGATGGGGGATTAGAACCCATTTACATGCAAAAAGCAAAGTTTTATCCAAATATATTCCACCACTACTGATGGTACATATGAATCCAACCACCTAATACCAGTGACAATTAATGTTAATACCGCGTTGAGGTGTTCATAAATCGATCCAAACCGATTCAAATCGCAGTGACAGAATCAAAAAATCGATAACCGAATAAATCGAAAATCGAAAAATCGAAAACCGAAAAAAAACCGTAAATTTTAATTGGATTGGATCGTTTTTTGGATGGGTTGATGAAAACCGATCCAATCCAAACCGATCCAATATATTAATTTTCCTCTACCTACTTGGATTTTTCCCTAATCATTGCCTAAAAATTTCTAAACCCAAGATCCATTAACCCATCAACTAAACCCAAAAAAAAAAAATCCAGTCACATCTCATCAACAAAATTTTATGTTTGTAGAGCTTCATATCTCATTGTCCCCAAAAAAAAAACTATATTATAGTTTACTAATACTTTTGTATTTCAATTTTTTTTTTTACAAAACCAATATATACAAAAGATGTTATTTGCACAATAATCATGAAATAAATTTTAGGATTTTCAAAAAACCGAAAACCGATCCAATCCAAACCAAAAAAAATTGGATTGGATTAGATCAGATTTAAAAAAAAATCCAAACCGAATGGATGATTAGATGATCAAACCAAAGAAATTAGATCAAATAATTTTTGCTTCCAAAACCGATCCAATCCAAACTGCATGCTGCGGTTAGCAACTGTGGGTCGATGTGATTACTACATGGATAAAAATGATAGGTGGTGGCGATGATGAAAAGATTAACCATCATTAATTCTGGTGATGGCAAAATAAGACTCTTTTAAAATAAATTTATATTTAACGTCAATAAGTATTAATGGTGATAAAGACGACAGTAACATAAGGATATATATGATACAAGGTGGAATGTGTAAACTTCATTTTATAAATTTGATTTCGATAAAAAATGAATTTGTATTAAAGTAATTTTTATTTAAAAACTTCGATACGTAAAGTAATTTTGATATAGTAAATGTTGTTTGAATAATTTTAAGAAAAAATAGTTTTAGACGTGTCAGTATCGTTACAAAAAGGTATAACTTCTATATTACTTTATTTATGCTATGTTTTATTGTATTTTACTTTTTTGTAGTATATCCTTTTTTTTTTGGTAAACCATTTTGTAGTATATCTTAACAAATGCTATGTGTTGCATTGAAGATTGAGCTTTTTTAATGATGTCTATTAAATAAAAAATGGGTTTTATAAAAATTATATTGTAGGAAAAATGATTGTGTTATGTTATAGGGGTGTTCTGGTCTGGATTGGATCGATTTTGGAAGCAAAAATCATCCGATCTAATCTCTTCGGTTTGATCATATAATCATCCATTCGGTTTGGATTTTTTTTTAAATCCGCTCCGATCCAATCCAATTTTTTTGATTTGGATTAGATCGGTTTTCGGTTTTTTGAAAATCATAAAATTTATTTCATGATTATTGTGCAAATAACATCTTTTGTATATATTGGTTTTATAAAAAAAATTGAAATACAAAAGTATTAGTAACTATAATATAGTTTTGTTTTTGGGACAATGAGATATTAAGTTCTACAAACATAAAATTTTGTTGATGAGATGTGACTAGATTTTTTTTTTGGGTTTAGTTTATGGGTTAATGGGTCTTGGGTTTAGAAATTTTTAGGCTATGATTAGGGAAAAACCCAAGTAGGTAGAGGAAAGTTAATATATTTGATCGGTTTTCATCAACCCATCCAAAAACCGATCCAATCTAATTAAAATTTGCGGTTTTTTTTTGGTTTTCGATTTTTCAATTTTCAGTTTATTCAGTTATCGATTTTTCGGTTCGGTCACTGCGGTTTGAATCGGTTTGGATCGGTTTATGAACACCCCTATTATGTTATAGAGATTCGTTTTCCGTGCCGTAGATTTTTTTATTTTTGCTTCAAAAAATGTGGACCCCACAAAATGTTGTGTGTGTAGGAAATTTTTTTTTGTCATGTTACATGATGAATGCAAATCCCATAAAAAATATATATATCATGTTTAAGTCTATTTAAAAAAAAAAAATGTGATCCCTTTACTCATAAAAAGGATTCAATAGAAGTGAGTTACATCTCTCAAGCAGAGGATGTGTTCAATCTCAGTGTAAAATATATTGTTTTGCTCCCCTTCAAAGGGATTTAGAATTTTTTATCCAGGCCGTGAGTTCCTGAATCCTGACCATCCCAATTCTTTTCGTAAAAATCATAGTGATGCCTTTTAAATTAATACAGGATTGAAATCTAAACATACAAATTTTATAAAACCCAAACACAATTATTATAAGAAAGGTGGAGAGCAAAATTAGAAAAATGAACGCAGAAAGCACAAAAGTTCACCATGAAATTCTTAACACCAATGCAAAGGCTTCGCTATAACTTATAACGTACACTTTTGATCTATCGGAGGTTTACGGGTAAAAGTTATTTTGGCTATTTGACAAAATTATGTTTCCCCACGACGAATTGGATTTTAACTTGCACAAACACCTATTTTAACATGTTAATAGAAAATTTATCATTTTAAATAAAAACAAATTAAGCGTAATTATTACAATTGGATTAAATAAAAAAATTATTTTTTATTTTTTTATCTTGATTATTCTATATGAATTTCAATGATATATAATTAATGATAACTATATTAAGTTACTAAATTTCATGTCACCGTACAAAATTTTAATATAACTTTTTGGGAAATGATCCGTCTATAAATTTTTACAAATTATATTATGTGCTCCCGAAAATACATAGTGTAACTTATTATACTTCCGGAAATACATAATGTAGTTTGTAAATAAAAAGTTTATAAATATAACCATCCCAAAACTTTTATATGTCTAATATACGCTTAAAAAATTATATCACCCAAACAAACTCTATAAGAAATTTTTTATAACTAATTATTAATTTGCGGTGCATAAAATATATTTAAATGTTACTTGATTAAGAAATCAAATCATACTGAAACCATTTTATGGTAATGGGTAATATCATGCACGCAGTTCGTAACTTCGACTATTTATATCATTCATATTGTTTCTACTGACTATAACAAAATATTTCATATATTTCAGACAGAAACTACTTACTGCGAAGTTGTTATACTTTTTGCCCGAAGCTAGATTTAGATACAGTTAACCCAAATTAAAAAAAAATAAAAAAACATCTGGGTTCAAAAGCAGAGCCAACGAAATTGACAGTTGTGTTGCCATTTATCCTCTGCTCTTCAGCAATTTGAGCCGTTGTGCACACTTAATGAAACTTCTGCAGAACAGAACCCAAATACTATACTGGTTAATTAGCTGGAATATATATCTATGTTTTCTTGTACAAGATGTTATTAATTATTGTTATTGTAATAATATATAGAATGAGTTAAACTAAAGAGAACGACTCTAGTTGTTCCTTATTGACTGATATTGGTTCAAATTGTTAAGAACCTCGAAATCACCGCCTCAAAAGCTAGCTCAAAGTGTGAGAGTGTCTTTATAAACCTCACACTAATTGTCCATACAACCAATGTGAGACTATTTTTTAACACGCGCCCTCACACGAGAGCCCACTGGGCTTGAAGGGTGGACAACATACAAGCCCACCTACATGTGGAAATTCCACTACAAAAAAAGTGGGAGGCAATAAGATTTCAAACGCTTTGATACCATGTTAAGAACCTTGAGGTCACCACCTCAAAAGCTAGCTCAAAGGGCGAGAGTGACCAAGGCCTTATAAACCTCACATTACTTGCCCCATACACACACAAAGTGAGACTATATTTACAATTAATTACGATTAATTCTATTTACAATTAATTCCTACGATTGCTAACACAATCAAAATCAAATTAATTACGGATACTATACAATTCAACACAAATGCAGAAAATTTATTTTTTGCAATTATGCAAGTTTAAGGTTATGTTTACCCCATTTCACTGGTCGGATTTTTTTTAATTAAGAGTGATTTTTTTTTTTAATTATTTTTTAATAGAATAGATTGAACTAATAATCAATTAAAAGGGATTTAATTGGCTTGAGAATTAGAAGGGTCACTTGCCTCCATGGCACATCTTCAGCAAGAAGCCAATCACCTTCTTCGTCCTGATAAGCCAGTTCATAGCTGTTTGACTGTTGATGACCACCTGTTTCCATTTTCAACGCAATCCCAAAATAAAAATAAAAAGAGAGTTAATAACATAACTCAATTAATTAGTAATTACTGGGAAAGAACACATGTCAACTTTTGCATAGCTTTATAATATATAGTTATACCTACATTTTCCAAACATGTCCATCAAGGTTTCCTTGAGCGTCTGAAACGAATGATGCATGATGAGGTCAACCTTTCGAGCGATTCCTACACCTTCCATCTTCACCTTCACGTACAGTGATTTCGATCCTCTCAGGCCAACTGAACCATGTCCACCATGATTATGATCAATATTCAAGACCACGTGATCATTCCCTGCAACCTCGTCCCCATCATAGTTATTGAAACGAAGTTTCTTCCTCCAAGAACTTACGGGTGGCCAACCCACTAGAGCTTCTACATCATCCTCATCGTTCCTAATCAATAATTAATATATATACATTTCATCAAGTAAAACAATTGAAGAGTTTTTCAAATCAAGAGAAAGAGAGAGAGAGAGTTGAAATGAAGAGTAGTACGTACTTGGTGGTGATAGTAGAGCAATGGCTGCGTTCTTCATGAGGATCATCATCGTGGTTTGGGTGGCCAGGAAGGAGTGACAGAGTAGGAAGCATAACGTCAGTACTGTTCGTAGTGACTTGTGCATGGTCGTCAAAGAGTTGGGAAAAACTACGTTTCTTATGGAAGGCATTGGATTTATGGTTCAAAGAGAAGTGAGAGTACTTAACATCGTAGGCACGAGAATTGAGGTCGAGACTTTTGGAGGGATTGGTTGGGAGAGCGAGACCTAGTTGAAGCTCCATCCATGCCATGCATGCAAAGTAAGTATTATTAAAAGAAGAAGAACAACAACAACACAAGAGAAGAGAGAGTGGGGAAATATATATATATATATATATAGTTATATGATGAGATGAGAGACAGAGAAAGTGCTGGGGATGATGATGGTTAATTTGAATAAAGATGGAAGAGAGAAGAAGTGGAGATTTGATTTGATAGAGAGGGACAGGGAAGAGGGTAGGAGAGTCCGGGCCTGGCGGGTATGGGACAAGGTGTTGGGAACAAGAGCTATGGTGTCAGCATCAATGCTTCCCTTTTTCCCGACCCAATTGCCTCCTTGTTTACTTCTTCATTGTTTTCTGAAGACCTCTACACACCTTCTCTTTAAACCCACTCCTACTCGCGCGTTTTCAGATTTCACTTACTTCTCACTTCAAATTAGTACACTGCGTTGTTTGTTTATGTAAAGTTCAATTTTTTTCTAATAAATATCTTGTTCCATTTTTCTTCGACTTATTCAGGGAAATGGGTCTCAATATATATATATATATATATGGGGATTGATTTTCTCATGTTAAATGAGAATTCAATTCTCATGTTATAGAGATAAAAAACATGTGGGACCCAGGTGTTAGAAAAAATTATATGTAAGACCCATGTCAGCACGAAAATAGAAGAATGTGTAGAAAAATTTGAATTCTTATGTTAAGTGAGAATTATAAAACCCTATATATATATAACTTCGACTCAGGCAAGTCTGTCAAAGGAGAAATTTTTTTTTTATTGAATTTTTTTTTTGAAATATTGTGGAATTTTTTTTTTCTGGATAAGTTACTAAAAGAAATTTGGTAGGTTAATTTTTTTTTTGAAAATGTTGAGTTAATTTTACTGATGTCGTGTGTTAATTTTTCATCATATTGAAAAAATAATTTCATCCCTTCAATGATAATCTTCTCCAACCATTTTACATAGAAAAACAAATGATAAAAAAAAAAAAATTATCAAGCCATATTTTTACTTCATCTCTTATTAAATATAGACAAATAATTTTTCCGACCTCATTTTATAAACACAACGTGTGGGATCCATTTTTTACTTTTTTTTAAAACGAAAATTCAAGATATATCTTTTGATGAGTTTGTAGAAAGGATATTTTTTTCTTATATAACATGATAAAATCATATCCCAAATAATATATTGGTTGTGTTAAATGTTAATCTGTTAATCGGAATCAAAGAGGAGCGTTATATACACGCCCCTTAAACGAGGGTGAGACTAGTCTAAATAGTCTTAGGAAGTTGCTTTAGTTAGGGGCCAACAAGATATGGAAAGCATATCTGAGGGTACACTTCTCAGTTGGCTTAAAGAACTTGTAGTCAAATCAAAGACTCGGAACCGGGTCGGTCCAATACAATAGCAACGTTCCGGATTTTCCATCTCGCTTTGAAATTTCGTTGCATTAAGCAATAGCTATTTTGATTGAAAATTGAAGATTTTTTTTATCTATCAGAAAATTGAAGATTTAGTGTGTATATGCATAGTATACAAGGTTTGATAATACAATAAGAAAAATTATGTGCACAACATAAAAAGATGGGAAAAAAAAAGTTATATAAAGAATTATCTTGTGACCTAGCTAGCTTCTTGTGAAATCCTTTTTAGTAAATATTATTCCTCAGCATACATTTAACAAAAAAATAAAGTCTTAATATTAAAATATTGTTAAATTAAATTCAACCTGATATATTTTATGAGAAAGTTAAGTTCAATTCTATTTAAGAGATTGATGTTTCTCATGTTGTAAGAAATAAAATTATCTTTTAATATTTCTCATTTAAGACTCATGTGGGATAATGTAAAGAAAAAAAAAAGAAGAAAAATATGAATTTCATACATTTTTATATATTTATATGTAAGATTTGTTTTTTCTAAAGTTACTTTAGATAACTTTATCTAATGTTCATCGAAACGACGTCGTTTTGGGACCGAAATCATGGTATTTTTGTAATTTTAATTTATTTCAGGGTTATAATAGTTTTTACCATTTTAATTTTTTAATTTTTCAACCCCAATACGACATCATTTCGATGAACATTAGATAAAGTTATCTAAAGTAACATTAGATACTTTTTCTCCTTATATGTATATAAGAAATAAATTATTTTCTATAATACAAAAAATAATAATCTCTTTATTAAAAATATGAATATAAAAACTAAAAACCAGTGGGACCTTGATTTGATTTCTGAGTTGGCTCAAAGATTCTTAAAGAAGGTTTTAGCTCTAATATTAATTACGTCGGCATTGCTAATGATTTAGACAATTGAGCATTATGTCCAATATTGTGGCATTCAGAGTGCTTATCAAAATCAAAGCTATAATTGTAGATTCCCAGGAGAAGTTCGATGCTAGGAATCTAGGTAAGACAGGCCGTTCGCTGGAAGGATCCATTTGTTTAATACTTAATTTAATATGGGGGACCATGTCTTAAATAGGTAATTACATCACATAACTCTCCATTCTCCATTAGTATCGGAATCAGACACAGATGCAGAAATAAATAAATAAAGACCGACAAAGAGAACAGACAAGGAATTATCTTCTACAGTTTGTCATATCTATCTCTCGGTCGAAAAACAGGATCTTCTCAAAGTAAATTTTTACATGATTATATTATTTGAAAATCTTTTTATCATTTTTTAATTGATTCTACAAAGTTTGTTTTTATTTTATAAAATGAAATTTTCATAAGAACGAATGAAATTCACATGTTTGATATTTATTAAAAGAGAAATAAACACAAAGATATTTATTATATAAAAAGGAAATATAGACAAAATTTTCAACATATAAGAGTACTATTTATTTTCACTTTCATAATAAATGAATAAGAAGTAATTAAGACGTCATTGCAGGCATTACATTATACACAAAGACAGAATCTAACCTAAAATATTTCCCTTCCCTATGTGCTCTTCTTTTGTTGGTTTTTGGTTATAAAATGTTGAGATGCTTAATCAAGCAGCAAATCATAGAGATTCAATATTGTTTTTTAATGGTCTATGTTGCAGCCACGCACAAAGGTAAAGTCCCAACATTTCAAACCTAGAAACATTGCCCCCTGCACCACACTCATAAATAAAGAATAAGGGTGGAAAAGAATACTATGCGGATTCCACGTGATGCCCAACATGCACACGAGGCATCTGGGCCGGTGCACCCCCATACGGTTAATTTCCCTCTAAACACCAAAATTAGTATTAGAATCAAACTAGGGTCACTCTTTTTTTCCTTGTCAAACAAAAAAAATACGTTCAAGACTTCAAGGGTCCAACCAACAAGAAGAAGAAATGCGACGAAGGACCACTACTTCAAAAACGTCAAACTTCAAATGATGAAATCCAAACCCTAACTAGAGTTTCAAAGTTTCTTCCATAAAGCTCTTATTAATGAATGAATATGCGCGTGGTTGTCCTTTGGCTTGGCCAGTTGGGTGTACTGAAATTGCAGGGAAGGTTCATCTGTTGAGATTGTAAGGCCTATAAAAGAGTAGGTTGAGGCCTCCGATCCTATAGGGTCATAGGGTATGGGAGTGGTTCAAAGTGTGTCTCCTCTCTCAAATGTTGATTTTTGACTTGAGGTACAAACATAGCCTTTTGGTTTGTTTGTCTTAATTGACAGCTTCGTGGATGGTTGGACATGCATTCATGCTATTGTTTTCTTTTTGGGCGCGTGCTGTCTTTAATTTACGATTTAGTGGTTGGTTTACTAAACAAGCCAAACACAAGTTGCATGAGCTATCACTGTGAAACTGCCAGATCAGGAAAAACTATATAGTGCTCATTAATTTGGGTTCACTTTTCAAATTTTTTTTTTCACAGCACATAATAATAATAGATTGGCTTGGGTTTTGGGCGGCACATATTGAAATTTCTTAGAGCCTGCCTTTAAAAAAAAAAAAAAAGAAGAAGCAATTTTTATGTTTTATTTATTTTAGAAATATTATTTTTTATAAAAGTTAAAGTTATTTATATTTTTTAAAAAAATATTGAGTTTTTAAAAAAATATTAGCTTTTTAACTTTTTTTTTTTTTTTTTTTTTTATAAACTGAAATTTTTAGCTTTAGAAAAAAATAGATTTTTTACTATTTTGTGACTTATTTTTTTTTAAATCGACATCCAAATGAATTTATAATAAAAAGTATTTTTTTTTTTTTGAAAAAAAATAACTTTTGGAGAAAGAAAAAATCTATCCAAATGTATCCTGAGTAGCTGACGTTAAGACACCAAAATATCTTCAATACTCTCGTATTATTGAAGATTAGGTGTATCTTTTATTAATTTTGATAAAAAGTAATATAATATATATTTTCTATTTTATATATCCATCTTTTTACTGTTATTAACACTTATGTCCCACCTTTTTTTATTTTTAATAAAGGAGTTCATACTCCCATAATTATATCAAAGATATATTCTTGAACAAATGATGTTAGTTCAGTTGGTAATAAGGAAGTTAGGTAAGTGGAAAGGAGAGGATATTGATTCGATTTCCACATGTCATTTTTTGGAGGAGTTTAAATATTTTCATCCCTAGACCGCCCCGCGCTTTAAATTAGTCTCATAATTGACTCAAATAGTCATAACTTGTAGAGATATCGAGTAGAGTCGACTCACATATGCTCTTGAGATCTCTAAAGCACGAACTCGTTCATTTTTTAAAAATGTGCGTGTCAGACACGTGTCCAACACGGACACGCTCTGACACTTTCTGACACACGGTTAATATTTTGGGACACGTGGTCAATTTTTCGACATGTTCCAACACACAGTCAATTTTTTCCGACACATTTTTTTTTAGTCTTAATTTTATTTTATTAATTAAAAATAAAAAAAAAATATTTCTAAATCAATTTTTTTCTGTTATGAAATTTGACATGAAAAATTAACAAGATACGAAAAATTATTTTTATATTTATGTTATGAAATTTGAATATTTGATTGATTATATGACTTATTATAGG